TATACATACATACACACACACACACACACACACACACACACAAACAGCCTTTCAAAAGTTTGGGATCGGTAAGATGTTTAATGTTTTTTTTTAAGAAGTCTCTTCTCTACTTTTATTCAGCAAGGAGGCGTTCATTTGATAAAAAGTGATAGTAAAGACTTATATTGTTAGAAAAGATTTCTATTTTAAATACAGGGTTTCTGCAGGATTTTTAAGCTCAAATTTAAGACCTTTTTAAGACCTGCACAAATAAAATGAATACCATATGAGCGGGGTAGGGCAATGTGTATAGTACCATATTAAATTGCACAATTACTGTAAAAAGCACAATTTACAGTTCAGATACAAGTTTTCACAAAAACAAAAAGTTTTAAAAAATGATCAACTTTATATTTCAGCCTTTAAACCATTTTTAAGAAAATGGATGAGTCAAAACTATTAATTACTATATTAATTTAAACAATTATTAACAATAAATTATTATATTATTTAAATAACAAATTAGGGGTGTGCAATATTGACAAAAAATATCTCGATAATTTACAGGGATTTTATCGATAATGATAACTAGACAATATTTTGCTGAATGTGTTATTGTGCTGATATCTTATCTCTAATTGTGCTGACAAGGTGACTCCTGAATTTTTTTATATTCTTCATATTCTGTGTGGTCAGTTCACAGCAGTGATAGAAATTAATTATTTCCAACAAGTTTTATGGGCATTTTTACCTTTAAGCCATTTTTTTCTAAAAGTGTGCACCATCTTTTGAGTCAAATTCTTGCATTTGGGCTGTTACCAAGCAAATTAAATCAGTATCAACAAAATTGCTCTTTGCAATGCAGAGGAAACACAGAAGCTGCATTAGAAGTGATATTTAGACGCATTTACACACCGTTTAATGCAGTGCTGAGGGACATTAAATATTTTAACCTGCAATTACAAATGCATAAATAATGTTTTGATATTTTAAACATAAAACATTGAAAACTGATGTTTGAAATTATTTTTAAAATGATACGGTACCTTAAATGTGAAATTAAAACTGCCCGTAGGTGGCAGCAATTCACTGCGATTGAACCGAATCATTTTAACAGTTGATTCATTCAGGAACGAAACACCGTCATGTTGCTCAGAGACACAAAACAGCGCTGTGGCTGTGTTTGGAATTATTTTTGTTGGAGAAATACAGTGCTGTGGCTGTATTTGGAATGATTTTTGTTGGAGAAATAGAGCAAAAACAGGAAATATGGTGTCTAAAACGTAAGTCTCTTAATATTAACTTCTTGTTTATTGAACTGTTGTATAAAATTAATATCACATTTGTAATCATGCTGACTTTTGGAGAAAAAAAACGGCACTTTTCGTGAATATTAACTTTATGAAATGATATAAATATATAAATTTTCTGCTCTATATCTTGAATTATGTGATAATTCTAAATGCATTTTAATAGACTGATTCATGCAGTGAAAGAACGAGCTTTAAATGCACGCGCATTAGTCTAACCTACTAGACTTCATCACCTAATGTATGCGTGCACTCTGTAGTAGGGATGGGCGATATCTCTTATTTTATTTTCGATCTGATACCGATATTTTCAAGCCCAGTATCGCCGATATCAATACCGATACCTCTAAACTAAACTGATCTTTTAACTTATTAAAAGAAAATAATCAGTAATTATACTCACTTAACATTAGATTTTAAACCCATATTTTTTTTGTTTGTTTTTTTCATAGGCCTTTTTTGTTTACATTGTCAGAAATAAAATATACTAGAATTGTATTTTAGCCCTTTACTGGGGCAATAACCTCAAAGGTGCAACTATACCCCTAAAAGTGAGCATATTAGTACCATACAAGTATGCATGCTTTAAGGGTAGATAAGTTACAAAGGTGCACCACTGAGGATACCTCATGAAAAATAAACATGGTGTTACAAAATGTACTAAAATGTATTATTATTATTACCATGGTAAATTTGTGGTTACTGCAGTTTTAGTACAAATACTGTGGTAAACTGTGGTTACTGTAATAAAACCATGGTTAATTTTTGTAAAAGGCTGCCAGGCTGTTGTACTCCTAAAGGTGAAACTTTAGCATATTTTTTTCTGAGAGATTTATTAACAGCAATTACAGAACATAACACAATCCATTTGAACTTTTAACAACCAGTTTAAATAAATTTACTTGCACAAACTAGCCAATTTAAAATAAATATTACATGTACACTAAGGTTTGGGGTCAGTAAGATTTAGTAATATTTATTTTAAGTCTGCACTTTTTAAGACACTTTTAAAAAAACAAAAACAAAAACAGTACAAGCAGCAATATTGTGAAATATAACAATTAAAATAACTATATTCTATTTAAATATATTTTAAAGTGTAATTTAACATGCATCTGTGAAAGCATCATGTAAAGCTGAATTTTCAGCATCATTACTCCAGTCTTCAGTGTCACATGATCCTTCAGAAATAATTCTAATATTATTTGCTGCTCAAGAAACATTTATTATTATTGCTGCTTCATATTTGTGTGGAAACCGTGATGCATTTTTCAGAATTAATGCGATTGAACCGAATCATTTTAACAGTTGATTCATTCAGGAACGAAACACCGTCATGTTGCTCAGAGACACAAAACAGCGCTGTGGCTGTGTTTGGAATTATTTTTGTTGGAGAAATACAGTGCTGTGGCTGTATTTGGAATGATTTTTGTTGGAGAAATAGAGCAAAAACAGGAAATATGGTGTCTAAAACGTAAGTCTCTTAATATTAACTTCTTGTTTATTGAACTGTTGTATAAAATTAATATCACATTTGTAATCATGCTGACTTTTGGAGAAAAAAAACGGCACTTTTCGTGAATATTAACTTTATGAAATGATATAAATATATAAATTTTCTGCTCTATATCTTGAATTATGTGATAATTCTAAATGCATTTTAATAGACTGATTCATGCAGTGAAAGAACGCACTCTAAATGCGCACGCGCACTAGTCTAACCTGCTAGACTTCATTAATGTATGCTGCACTCTGTAGGTGTTTTGTTTGCTTTTCGTGATATACTCGATAATATCAAATCGCTCATCGTTACAACAACAATTACGATATTACCGCAGACCATACATATCGCACACCCCTATTCTGTTTAGATTTTTATAATGCATTGTCTTCTTATCGATCCACCAGATCACATTTAAAGCTCTGCATCTTTGCAGGGTAAAAACATAGGTCGATTTTTGCATTTGTCTGAACAAAACATCAGTTTTATTGAAAATGCTCATTCATTTTGACAGCAGGTGGAGCGTTTGGTAGAATATAACTGTTTCCCCGGTAACAGCAGAACACAAAGCAGCGCAGCACCGGACTTTGAACATGCAGCGCTCATGTTTATTTAATGAAATCATAGCCTTTTGAAGTTTAATCATCACATACAGCCATATCGCAATTCTGGTCTTTCCGTCCCCAAAATTTAAGACCTCTTGAAATCATAATTAAGACTTTCTTGTACAATTTAAGACTTTTTAAGACCCTAAATTTGATACAACTAAATTTAAGACTTTTTAATACTTTTTTAAGACCCGCGGAAACCCTGAAATAAATGCTGTTCTTTTTAATTTTTATTCATGAAAGAATCCTGAAAAAAGTATCACAGATTCCAAAAAATATTAAGTAGCACAACGGTTTTCAACATTAAAAATTAATCAACATATTAGAATGATCTCTCAAGGATCAAGCGACACTGAAAACTAGAGTAATGATGCTGAAAATTCAGCTCTGATCACTGCAAATAAATTATATTTTAACGTATATTAAAACAGAAAACCAATATTTTAAATTGCAATAATATTTAATAATATTAGTGTTGTTTTCTATATTTTTGATCAAATAAACGCTTTGTCCTGTATACATATGGTTTTTTTGTATGTATATAATTTTTTCAATTCCACATTGAATTCTCACGTTGAATACCTGTAGAAAAATTAGGAACTTTAATGTAAACTTTCTGTTGCGTTACCTTCACTGGCTGAGTTCAAAAACAAACACAGTGCCTAGTGTAGTCCAATTCGCAAATGACTCTCATGAGTCAGTTTTTTTTTTTTTTTGATGAATCACTCAAAACTCACATAGTTGTTATTAAATTAACATATGACTCACTGCATTTCAAGCCTTTACTTTCAGTCATATCGGACCCTTAAAGCAGGAAGAACAGTGTTTGTAATAAATGTTCAAAGCAAAGCTAATTTTAGTGATAAAAAAATAATAAAAATGAATTAAAATAAAATAAATACATTTTAAAAGACTGAATATTAAAAAAGTAACTTTTAAAAACATTCAAAAAGTACAATTATGATCACATATTAAGTAAAAAAAAAAACCCTGCTTTGACAAGTTAAAAAAATTCCAGTGTATGTTTCATAGCGACCTGGTACAAAGGTGACATTAAAAACACCTAGCTTAGGGATGTACAGTAGTCTCTAATGGATTGCCTCTGTATGTTACAGAGGACGAGTCTGTCTCACCTCTGCGCCTTATTTTCCGACCCCCACTCACAGATGCTTTCTTTGTGTCTAGCACGGAGTCCAGAAGCACTCCAGTGCCTGGCGCTGCTTCCAGACGATTCTCAATGTGTCGCAACTGAGACAAGACCACAATTAGCCATTGAGTCAACAGATCTCTGCACTCATGAGGATAATGCTACAAATACTAAACCCAGAGTATACCTCTGAATCTTACTTTCTGATCTCTTATAATTGGGCTTCTTCAGAACTATTTGAATCACAAATGACAAAGTCTGCATGTAACAGGCATCTGTTTTGGCATCATAACCAGAACTTGAAACGCATGTTAAGAAATACTCACGGCAGCTTTGGTCTGATTTAGACAATTCCAGGCATGAGATATCTCTGCTGAGAGATAAACATTAACATAAGTAATCAATCAAACATGCTCATGATGATTCGAAGTATAGGGTGACAATTGGACAAACCTCTCCTGTTGTCTTGCCCAACAAGGGCAGCCTGGGAAGAGACAGAGGCTGGTGGCCCCGCCTCACTTCGCAAGCGACTACACATCGCTATGCCAACCTGAGAGGAAAGGGGAAAAACAGGCAAACAATGTAAGAGAAGCAATTATCTTGTCAACATCTGCTGTCAAACATTGTTTTCTCTGGCAATGGCTTGTTGCTTAGATTATGACCCAAAGAGGCACTAAAGACATGACTTCATTCACAGTACTCTTTGTGCAAAAGGAGAATACTAATTTGGCCAAACCATAAGATAGTTATGAAGATAGACTGATTGAAGCATATCAGGCCTCAGTTGTTCCATAAAAGTGTGGGTTATTAGCAATAGTGCACAATTAGTTTGATTGCCTGGAGGCCAGACATATGACATCTCCGTCTCAGAGCTTCAAGTCATTCGAATCACACTGTCTTCCTCTAAGTTATGACATAGAGTCCCTGTCTTTATTAGTCCCCAGAGTGAACAGATTCAATGGTCTATTATACAGTAAAAAAAAAAAGAAGGTTTTTTTTCAGACTGTCTAAAACACTGTGAAAAATGCACAAAGTATTCCAAAGGGACACTGAAATCACTCCCAGCTCAGAAACTTGAATTATACTGAATTAATAATGCATGCATAAGACATATCTTAGAGGCTTGCGTGCATATTTCATTGACTTCAGACCTATGCTGGATAGCAGAGGTGAAGAATCATTTAAACATGTTCTACTGCTTTTCTAACAGTAGTGAATGAGGTAACAGAGATACCAAATGTGTCTGGAATGAGGAAAACAACTTTAAAGCCAGCATGAAATTCACCTTATCTATTTTCTAAACGCAAATAATGGGCCTTGTTATGAACAATTAATCTGTTTATTTATTTAATATGTTTTTTAACTTTGTAGTGTTTAATCAAAACATAACTGGATGTCCAGTGAAAAACAACAGACTTCTCTAATCATTTATTCTTTTGAGTGAATGGCCACATCTCCACGTCCAATCAACAACCAATGTATACAACCAAGTCCAAGCCATATATTTTTCATTTTTCTTTAATTTGCAAGAACGAGGCAGGATTTAAGCAGACTGAAAAAGTCTTAAAATATTCTTGGCCAATCTGATGCTTTTAGCTACCAATAAGAAAATAATACTTTTAGTTTTGTTTAAGGCGACAGTTTAAGGCAACACTGTCTTCATTTACTCACCTTCATGTTGTTCCAAACTTTCTTTTGTACAGCACAAAAAGAGATGTTAAGTATAAAGTTACAGACTGACAGCCTCAGTGAGAATTTCACTTTTAGTGCATCTTTTTTTCCAAATTAAAGGGGTCATATGATGCGATTTCAAGTTTTCCTTTCTCTTTGGAGTGTTACAAGCTGATTGTGCATAGATAAGATCCCTGAAGTTGCAAAGACTAAAGTCTTAAAACCAAAGAGATATTCTTGATCAAAGTTAAGACTCTGCCACGCCCTCCTAAAACGGCTCGTTCTAACACGCCCCCACATATCTAGGTCACTATGTGGAAATATTTGCATAATGCGCCCAAATGTGCACGCAAAGAAAGAAGGCGTGGTTTCAGTAACCGCAGTTAGTGTTGAAGCACCCATGTCAGGGAGACGCTGTGTGTTTCAGTGCAAAAGCAAAAGCACTTTATTTGGCCTTCCAAAAGTAGATGCATTTAGGAATCTTTAAGATTACTTACAACTGAACAGCAATGCATTTTATGGACGACCATTTCGTGAACCTAGGAGAGGAGGTAATTCTGACTTTGCTATGACAATCTGGCGCTTCTGAATCAGCTACTGTTTTGTTATTAGTTTAAGTATTTGCTATTGACTGTTCAAATGCGGAGTTTTGCGCATTGTGTGTGTGCGTGCGTGCGTGCGTGCGCGCGCACGCGCGAGAGAGAGAGCTGTGTGTGTGCGCGAGAGAGAGAGAGGCGTGCGTGCGAGAGCGAGACACATCACAGTGGAGTCAGCTGTCATCTACTTTTGTGTTCCAAGGAAGAAAGCCTGCCATACGAGTTTGGCACAACATTGAGGGTAGGAGGATATCATCTAATAATACAGAATTCAGCAAGGAAAAAAAAGTTATTTTATTGAAAAAGATTTTGCTCATAACAAACAAAACTTAAAAGTGACAAGGTTTGTGTCAATGACAGTCTATTCAGCTAAACCCTTTTTCCAATTATAAAGACACAACCTGTGTGAGAGAGGTTGCCAGGGACTTTGATAAGAAATAATGAGGCTACCTGTGACACTCACCTGTTAAATAAAAGAGATTTAGAACTGTAGAAGTACAAACAAAACAAGTACTTGAACAAAGTACTTTAGACTGGAGATACTGACAGAAGCGACAATCTGATCCGATTCTATTTTAACTAATCAACACTTGTCAAAAACGAACAAAGTAAGCACAGCAAAAGAATCAAAGCTTAACTCATTTCAAAGTTCAAAATGGCAAAGCAACTGCCAAGAAAAGCACAACATATCCTTTGATTTACCCATAAAAGACCCACCATCTTCACACACACACACACACACACTCTCTTCAATTTCATATCACATTTTGGGAACTGAAACTTCATCTAACCTAGTATACACAGCACTGTACAGTTATGAGATTATAGTTTCAGTTAATAATGACTGCTCACATTAAAACAATACTAATTAACATGACTAACAACAATCAAGATGGACATGTTACGCCTTCATGCATAACATATAATGTACCAGGACTCACTTTCCAGCAGCTTTATTCAGAGACATCAGTCCACATTGTCTTCCTGACTGCTGGACACATCGGACCGTTGGCGATTCTGTCACCTCTACCTGCACCAAGACCCAGTGAAAAAGGTGATTTAACAGTGAAAGCTCAAAATCTTGATTTATAAACTAGTAGATTAATACTTCATTATGCAAATCAACCTGACACAGCACTCGTCTTAAATTCAGTGCTAGTATTAGATACTGGAATAAACACAGCAACTGATTAGCCCGCCAACAACTACTCATAAGCATCACTCTGAATTACAAGTAAAAGGAAATATGACACATCAGCAGCATCAGCTGACATAACATTCATATTCAAGATAAAATCTCCAGAGCAGGCTTCTAAAGGACTCTAAGAGTCTGGCCGCGTTAATATATACACTCTACTTTGCTAGAGTTAAGCAAAAAGGCATAAAACATAACTTAATATAAAGGAAATTAAAACATAAAAAACACAATTTACAGTTAAAGAGCAACATAAGCATTAGATACACATGTATTAACGCAGAATCAGAACTACAATACTATAGCAAACAAAAAAATATAAGACACTCAAGAAGACGTTCATATAACACACGCATAAAAAGAAACACAGCGGACTTAAAATAAGTGTCAATCACACAAATGCAACTTCACATAAACTAACGTTATCGTACTGAGGAGAAATCCAACAACGAACTAAACCAAGCAAACAACCGACTAGACGTCTAGCTTTAACCAGTAATTACGTACCTTAGACAGATTCACAATATTTAAACGAAATTTGTGGACTATGTGTTTAAATCCTCTGGCGAAAGTTATTGCTAACAGCTGCTGCTAACCGGCTAAACCATTAAAGGTCGCTAACAAACTTTTTTGGCATTTCTGTGACCCGGTTGTCTTTCGTTAAGCGTTCAGGTCAGAATGTAATTGGTTGGTACCTACCTAAAAGTTTATTGTACCCGCTACCCGCCTTTCGGTGTATGTTTCCCGGCTTTAATGATGAGTTAGGACGGCGGTTGGCTAGATTTGACGGTCCGCCATTATCCAAACAACTGTTCCAGGAAGTTCACGTCTGAGAGAAACTCGCGATACTTCCGTAAAGAACGTGTGGGTTTTTCCTTGGCCGTGTTTGACATCTAGTGTTCACTAATGGTATTGCATCAAATAGCATGCTACCTTGAGACATGGGACAAGAAAGCCCTTTTAGTTCACCCGAACTGAGTTCAAAACAAGGTCAATACTAGCTCTGGTGTGAGCAATTATTATTACATTTTCTGTGTATAATAATAAATACTTTTTGTCGTTTATTCATTGTCTATTGTGGAATGTATTCAACAGTTAGGCAAGAACAGCTTACTGTCATTCCACCTGTCAGTGTTTGTGGTGCTTCCAGACTAGAGGATGTGAGCTGTGTGGAGTGGAAGCAGAGTGAGGAGCACACAGTTGTGTGATCTTGCCTGGAGTGAAGAGAGGGTTTTTTTTTTTTAAAGAAGGCACATCTGTATCTCTTGCTTCAGGACTGCCCAGAGCAGACTGAGGTGGATTCTTGAATCAAACGATAGACAGAAAGCCTAGTAACCATGACAATTTATTTGTGATTTTGTTTCTCCAATAAATCATTAAAGGAATAGTTCATCCGAATATGAAAATCGGCTGAAAATTTACTCGCATACAGGCCATTCAAATTGTAGATGAGTTTGTTTCTTCTTTGGAACAGATTTGGAGGGATTTAGCATTACATCACTTGTTCACTAATGGAGCCTCTACAGTGAATGGGTGCCGTCAGAATGAGAGTCAAAACAGCTGAAAGATCACAGTAATAATCTATGACTCCAGTCCATCAATTAGTGGCTTGTGAAGTGAAAAGCTGCATGTTTGTAAGAGGCTAAATCCATAATTAAAGCATTTTAACTTTAAACTTCTTGCCAAGATACCAATCCATAATCTATAATAGGCTATTGCTTCCTCCAGTGAATCAAAAATCCACTGACATTACTGTTTCGGACTGTTTTCACTTGCATGCATATTTCTCTTTTGATTGACGAGATAACTTTTTCACTAGAGAAATCAATATTATGGATTGAGGACTGGTAGTTTAGCCAGAAGCAACAATTTGAATTTAAAAATATTGTAATGATGGAGTTGTTTACAAACGTGCAGCTTTTCACCTCACAAGATGTTAGTTGATGGAGTTGTGTGTATTACTTGGATTATTGTGATGTTTTTATCAGTTGTTTGGACTCTCATTCTGATGGCACCCATTCACTGCAGAGGATCCATTGTTGAGCAAGTGATGTAATGTAATACATTTCTCCAATTTGTTCTGGTGAAGAAACAAACTCATCTACATCTTAGATGGCCTGAGGGTGAGTTAATTATTTTTTGGTGAACCACCTTTAAAATAAACCACTCAATGCACCACTTATTAAAAACATAATGACTAAGACACATATGTTTTAAAAACATGGCAAGAAAGATTTTCCAATTAAAAGCTATAAGAAAGCAAAATTAGAGGCTAATTTTCAGCATATATTTCAACAGAAAGGGGAAGGTTGGGTCACACAGAACAACCTCAGAGCGCTATAGGCAAGCCTTTAAAATGAACTGTTATGGCATAAAGAAGACATAAATTAAACATGGAGGAAAAAGCGTTTGATCAGAAAATATTAATTAAAATGAATAACCATTTCTATTACAGATGGATATAAAGAGCATCTTTTATACTGAAAACCTGAACTTACATAAATAACAGATTTATTTGGAACAGATAAATGTGGAACTATTGGCAAAATTAAGAAAAACTAAGAAACTATTCCTCAATATGAATGAAGCTCATTAAAGAGCCTACTGATCATTTGAATTGACATAAGAAAAAACAGCCAATTAGTTTGGAATTTCTTTCTCGAATAAAACCATTAAACAAGCCATGCATTTAGTCTAATAATGCATGCATGAAATTTCACGCGCCACTTACCCAAAACTATTATTTCCAGATTAAGCAGTCCTTTCAATAATAGCCCTACAAACCGAGCTGCGGACCCTACAGTCATTGTGTTATAACCATAATGTCACACGTTTAATAATTTATGTTTCCTAATTACCGAGACAGTGACTCTCGGCCCCCCCTCTGGTGATCTAACCTGTCGTAGGCTTCTCGGTTTGAAACTGGGTATTTGTGTTCAGCACCCGCAATCTCTCCCGTACATTAACCAATAGTGCTGTATCAGAGAGCGCGCGCGAGAGAAAGACAGATGTAGCCTAACAGAAAACATCGCTTAACAGAAACATATTTTCAGAATACGGGGGCACGACAGAAAAGGAAAAACGGCATCCACTCGCAGGTGAATGTGAGGAATAGTGAAGGAAACTCCGCGGTCCTGCGCGCTATTGCGGTGATGGAGCTCAAAGCACTTGTAGCTGCGCTCCGTGTGTCTGATGCTGGTAAGCTTATGTTTTTATTCATCTTCACTATTGCACAGATGAATTACATTGATGTCTATTTTTAACATTGCTATCCACTCGAAATGTGTAATTGCAGTGCTTACGGACATTTTGGTTACATTAGATTGTGACTGAACTTCTTTCAATGTGCTGATCAGTTTATTTTTGAATAATTGTTTTTGTCATCAGAGTTAGGCTATTTAGCCTAAATCGACGTGATTTACCATGTTGAGTCATTCATCAAATCAAAGTGAAATTGAAATTATTGCAAAGAATTCCTGGGATGAAATTATGATTTATGTGCATTATTTCAATAGAAAAGAGCTTATTAGAAATATATTTACGCTGGCTATGTCCAATAGCCTAAGTGTGTGACTTTTTAAATTACTGTTCACAGAGGCGGCATACTGACCCTAGCTATTAAATAACAACACTAAATGAACAAAAATGTGGTAATTTGTTTAATTCGTTTTTTCTTTTCATAAAACGACACACAAAACGTATAACGTGTAGGTATTTTTAACTGCTCGATCATTGAGGTGAATGTGAGGAATAGTGAAGGAAACTCCGCGGTCCTGCGCGCTATTGCGGTGATGGAGCTCAAAGCACTTGTAGCTGCGCTCCGTGTGTCTGATGCTGGTAAGCTTATGTTTTTATTCATCTTCACTATTGCACAGATGAATTACATTGATGTCTATTTTTAACATTGCTATCCACTCGAAATGTGTAATTGCAGTGCTTACGGACATTTTGGTTACATTAGATTGTGACTGAACTTCTTTCAATGTGCTGATCAGTTTATTTTTGAATAATTGTTTTTGTCATCAGAGTTAGGCTATTTAGCCTAAATCGACGTGATTTACCATGTTGAGTCATTCATCAAATCAAAGTGAAATTGAAATTATTGCAAAGAATTCCTGGGATGAAATTATGATTTATGTGCATTATTTCAATAGAAAAGAGCTTATTAGAAATATATTTACGCTGGCTATGTCCAATAGCCTAAGTGTGTGACTTTTTAAATTACTGTTCACAGAGGCGGCATACTGACCCTAGCTATTAAATAACAACACTAAATGAACAAAAATGTGGTAATTTGTTTAATTCGTTTTTTCTTTTCATAAAACGACACACAAAACGTATAACGTGTAGGTATTTTTAACTGCTCGATCATTGCCATATGTTGCTACCAATAACCACACTGATTTAAGTGTCAAGATCCTTAGCTACAACGTATCACAGTTAATAGCTATCTCAATTCGAAAGCAATAACCTGCTTTTATACAGTCTATGTCAATAACTTGTCGTTTGGTAAAAGATTATTCATAAGCGAAGAACCGGTTAAAGAATCGAACCAGTAAGGTCATTCATTCAATCATTCATTCATTCTTAAAAGGGACTCGTGAGATTCGGTTCACTAAAAAGAACCGGCTCACACGAGTAATTTGTTCGAGAATCGGACTGCTAGCGTTGTATGTTGTTGATTCACTAAAAAGAACCGACTCAGACTCGTCCAGGAATCGAACTACACCGGTCGCGTTGCATATTTCGTGGTCACAGTAGGTTAGGTAGGTTGTAGTGCGGGAGCGCTGAAAATGCGGTTTACAGAGGTAGGAATGTATAAAAATGAAGTTTGAATTGAATGTTTAAGAAACATCACGTCTACTTAGAATTTTAAAGACATTGTGGATGTACTTAACATTGCCCTATGATATCCTTTTCGAACGATAAATTAAAATGGCGTCAGATAAAGCGGTTATTAGGAGTAGCCTAAATAAATTTGTATATATTTGTCCATAAAGTATTCATTTAATTTTATTCTAGATCATTAGACGTGAAACCAGTTTCACACAGTTCACACTACCATAAACTGCCCTTACCAAAAAGTAGTATACTTCAAGTTTATTTTAGTAAGTATACTTAAGCAAAGTTCAAGTATATTTTTAAGTATTCTTTATGTAGTAAGTACTTGTGTACTATTTCAATACTCATTGGAACTAAATTGGCCCACTTTCTAGTATATAAAAGTATACTTTTAAGTATGCTTTAAGTATAACAGTAGGAAACTTTGAGTACACAACTAGTTTACATCAAAATGTTTAGTTTGTACTGCAACTATACTAAAAGTGAACTTATAGGTATACTGATAGTTTACTAATTAAATACTTGTAGTAGCATTTTTAGTACACTTTGAAGTATAGTCTCAGTAAACTACTTAAAAGTATACTTTCCTATTTTTAGTTTAAAAGAAGTATACTAATAGCACACATGAATAAACTTCTTTTTCGTAAGGGTGGCGCCAGTCGCTGTACCTTTTTGGTCGCTAGTAGCTACATCTGCTGGGCTGTGTAGCCTATATACTGTATATAAATGTTACCAGTAATGCATCATATCAAAGATTGACGACATATTCTTTGCAACTGAGGCCATTTATCTTTAGCCTATCACTTAACATTGTATAAAATCAATTGAATTAAACATGTTGTATAAAGATACTATAACTAGTTGCTCCAGTAAGAAACTGTTCATTAACTGTTCAAAAATACTAAGTGAATAATTGTAAACCTAACCCTTTAAGTGCACTTTAAAAGAATAAGAGCCACACCTGTCACTGACCACAGTTCAGTCAATGTTCATTTCTAGATAACACGAGCAAGGGCCTCTGATGCACATTGATTCTTGGTCAGGGAACAAGGTGTTAGTCAATACAGGTTCTATGTTGCAAAGTAGATACAGACATCCCCATTTTTAGAGTCAGCACCCCAGGCGGTGCTGTCGATATCCAGGTGCATTATGTAGTGCTGCTTGAAAAACTACAGAACTGCCACAGCAGTCATTAACTGTAACAGGACTAACAAATGGCTTTCCCCATTCAGTTATCACTGCATTATTTATTACTTAAACAGTTACTGGAAAAAAGATGCAATCTTCATTGCAGTGCACTTGCAATTCAATTCACTTTTTAATTTGGACAATACATATGGTTGTAAACCAGTGTTTTTTAGCCTTTACAGATCCAGTGATGATTTCTTTGGTAACAGGTAACCTGGTATATATATATATAATATATACAGTGGGTACGGAAAGTATTCAGACCCCCTTACATTTTAACACACGCACACAAGATTTGATGAAAATATAACATAATGAGAGATTTATAAGCACTTTTCTAAAGGCTGGTCATGTAAAAAAAAAATTGGCAAGTTGTTATATACTGTGTGAACAAAGTCAGTAAGTTTTAGTCCAATGCGATAACATAGCATTTTCGGGGGGACACACACACACTTTTTTGCTATGTTATCATCAAATTTTTGGATTTGATCTTTTTGTCAACTTGTTTTCTTTAGTTGACAGAGGTTTTGTATTTCTTTTTGGAACTGATTGATCGTAGGCCTCAAGGATCTGAGCTAATGCTTTTTTCACTCAAAAACATACTGTAGGTGCATAAACTCAGACGAATGAGTCCTACAATCAGTCAGTTCCAAAAAGAAATACAAAACCTGTGGTAATTGACAGAAAACAAGTTGACAAAAAATATTATATATATATATACTGTATATAAATAGAAAAGAATCACCCCCCTTTAAAATAATCACATTTTGTTGCTTTGCAGCCTGAAATGAAGACGGACAGTTTTTGTTTTATCCAGCTGTATTTGCTCAGTGCAACTTATAACATCCAACAGTGAAAGATATAACACCAACATGTGAGGAAAAAAAAAAAACAGAATGACTGAGTTGGAAAAAGGATCACTGCCTTGTGTCAGTATTTTGTTAAACCACCTTTTGCTTTAATTACAGCCTTTAGTCTGTTGGGATATGTCTCTGTCTCTACTAACTTTGCACATCTAGACATTGCAATATTTGCACACTCTTCTTTATAGAACTGATCAAGTTCAGTTTAATTTGATGGTGACCGTTTGTGGACGGCAGTCTTGAAGTCATTCCTCAGATTTTCAATGGGGTTTAATTCTGGGCTCTGACTAGGCCACGCAAGGACATTCACCTTTTTCTCCTTCCACCACTGTGTGCTCAGTTTTGCTGTGTGCTTTGGGTCATTGTCATGTTGGAAGGTAAATCGTCTTCCCATTGACAACTTTCTGGCAGAGGGCAGCAGATTTTCCTCAAGAATTTGACGGTGTTTTGCCCCATCCATTTTTCCTTTTATCTTGACAAGTGCTCCAGTCCCTGCTCCCATAACAGGATATTACTGTATCCATGCTTTACTGTAGGAATGCTGTTATTTTGATGGTGAGCTTTATTTCCTCCAGACATACCATTTGGTGTTGAGGCCAAATAATTCCATTTTATTCTCATCTGCCTCAGAATCTTCAAGGTGCGTTTTTGGCAAAGCTCAGTCGTGACTGCATGTGGCCTTTATTGAGGAGTGGATTTTTTTCTTGCAATCCTCCCATACAAGCCACATTTGTGGAAAATGTGTGATATTGTTGTCACATGTACACAGTGACCACTCTTTGTCATAAATTCCTGCAACTGTTTCAGAGTTGCTGTAGGCCTCTTGGTAGCCTCTCAAAATGTGATTATTTTAAAGGGGTGATTCTACATACATATATTAATACATACACATATTAATTCTACAAAATACCATTTCAGTCTTTCTACTTTAAAATGTTACACTTAATTCAATGTGTAACTTGCTGCTTCTTTATGATGATTTACTAGCAATTTCAAAGTGATTTTAGTTTTATAAGAAAAGTTGAAAAGTGAATAAAATGTTACCTACAAAGACAGCTCAGGGTGCCAGCAGTTCCGCATCAGGCTGATTCGATGTCTGGGTTTGTCTCTTTTCCATGAAAGCTGGCTGTGAAGTCTCCAGATCTCCTCTTGTCGGCCTGAAGTGCAGAGTTAAAGAGGCTTCAGAATGTTTATTGAAGTCCCAGCCCATTTATCCTATTTGTTGTGCACATGTGAATCAGGTCTGAGTGAATACACCACGCTTGTGCTTTGATCCAGATTCCTTAGTGCACAGAGTATGAAGCAATGTGAATTGCTAATTTATTCATGTATATGCCGTGGATTTTATGTTTGTTGTCATGGAGACGAGGGTTGAAATTCAAGTTCATTGTTGTATTCCTCTAAAGTTTTAATGAAGGTTTTTTGTTTTCATTCATTTGTACCCTCAGAATTTGACTTCTTCCTGTGACTGTGAAGGCATGACCTTGTTGACAACAACTTTCGCGCAACCTCAGAAATGTTGTTAAGGCACGTTGCTAGAATTAATTAATATCCCACAGGGGCATCTGTTGTTTATTATGACAAAAATCAGCCAAAAAAACTGATCTTTCAAAGGTATCTTGCAGTTGGTGCTCTAAAGAAGATATTTTAAATGTGATAAAAGATGAGAGAGAATATATTTGATTTAGAGGACTATACTGTACCCATCACTCAGCGGCCTTCTTTTCACATTAACAAGTCTTTTATATATCACTTTGTAATGTGGTGGCTGCACTAGACATTTCTGAGTACTTGAGTGGTAAAATAGGCCTTTTCCTATTCAATTACAGCTGGTTCTTAACGGAGAGCATTAAAGGTGCACCAATGCATAAGTAAGGCTGTAATTCAGAGTCGGGCAAGTCATCGATTACAGCATCTTTTCAGCATAATTAGCCCCTGATTAGT